GAAAAGAGGTGGAAGAAAATAGAATTGCATTGTGCTTTTGCAATTAGCAATGCGTCAAATGATTGGAATCATGAAATTATGCATATACATGTGTATGTATATCAGGCCAAGCCAGTGGAACACTTTGGGAAGCGGAACAGAGCACCACATAGAAGCCAGAGTCGATGTGAAAGACAATGGATAAACGGACAGACTAATTGACTGGCCGACTGACTGACTGACTGAAACTCTGAAGCTCTTTGGGAAAATCTATTTAACAGGTGCCTCACACCTGTATCCAAAGGTGGGCTAAAGGTCGTACGAGTGAGTGAAAGCTCAAGTTTCGACTCTACTAATAACAGTTAATACCTCTCCGAGATGCTTGAAAGTAATCCCTAGACTGGGGCCAACTCAAGCTGCTGCCCACGCTGATTATCCAAGTTTATTGTGATGCAAGTATCATCGGGGCGCAAAACATCGTGAATCACATTGGGAATTGTTATACAATAATGAAAGATCAGCTCAATTTTGTATGATGATATGAGAAGTGCACAGATTCCCAGAGACTGGCGAGAATGCGATGAAAAAGGTCTTTATGGGCATATCTTTCAACTCGGTAGCTGACAGGTCCGTCGAAAGGGGCAACAGAGGGAGGGAGAGACTGAGAATGCGACTCGAGCCGAGCTGAGCAGAGCAGAGCAGAGCAGACAAAGATGACGGTGCAAGTGTAGGGGCTGAATGACAACGGTGCATGCAGGCCAAAAGGGAATACACAAAGGGCCAAGAGAGCGAGAGGAAGAGGAAGAGCAGCTGGCTGAAGCTGGAACCTGTTGCAGTTTCGTTTAGCCACTTGAAAAGCAATTTCTGAAATTTATTTTCCATTTATTGCTTTATTTATTTTATACCTTTTCAGTGTGGCCCATTCTACACATACCAGACACAACTCTTCTCTGTCTGCGCGCGCATGTGTGTGTGTGTGTGTGTGTGTGTAGCTGCTTATGCGATTAGAGCAGAGCAGAGCAGAGCTCATCTGCCTGCTGGGCCGGGCTGGGCTGCAGCAGCCTGTGTTTATTTGTTTTGGGCCCAGAACAATTCTTGAATTCTCGGCCAAAGCGGAGCAGCTCTTGGGCCGCTCTCAATGGGCGCGGACAACAATCGAAAGTAATAATGAAATCTCATAAACAACAACAGCAACAACAAGCAGCAGCGCTTAACAATGTGTGCGAGCGAGAGAGCACAACTGTCTTCGCCCTTTTGCAGTCGCGGTCGCCGTCGCCGTCGCTGCCGCAGTCGCTGTTGCCGATGACGCTGCCGTTGACGTTGACGACACTTGCCTTGATTTTTATTATGTTGGGCTTTTCCACACACACACACACGCACGCACATGCACACACAGGCACAGACACACACATGCACATGTGCATTTCTGCATTGTTGTTGATTGTTGTTGCATTGCCTTTTGATTTATTGTTAGCAGGAATGAGAGAATGGGCCCAGGCACAGGCAAAGAGCAAACGGCACTGCAATAAGAACAGCAACAACAACAACAACAACAAAGACGACAACAACGACGACGTCGACTGCACAGCAGGCACCGCTGCCCTCACTTGTTCATTCTGCCGTTCTCTCTCTCTCTCTCTCTCTCTCTCACTCTGCTTCTCTTGTTGTTTTAGTGCTTGCATTCCGCACTCAGCATTTTTACCTTTTGCCAAGAATTGTGCGTGCTTGTGTGTGTGTGTGTGCATGTGTGTGTGTATGTTCGTTTCTATTCTTGTGCGGGCAGCAGCGTCGCGACGCGTCGACGCAGTTGTAGACAGTTCATTAATGTTATCAACAGCATGGGGCATGGGACATGGGATCTGGGATCTGGAACCTGGGGGCGGGGGCGGCAGTGGCGGCTGATCGCTCATTTCTTTGCATTTTGGCCGCATCGTTGTAGGTAAAAACAGCAACAGCAACAACAACAACAACAACAGCAGTGCGCAGTGACTGCGCTGCTACGCAGTTGCGTCGCAGCTCCTGCCTGGGTTTGTGTACGCACTAAACATCAATTTCGAGCTGCGTAGCACTTGCTGCTGCTGTTGCTGAAATGGGCCAAAGTCGAACTGCGAAAACAACAAAAACTGGTGGCAACTATTGGCCAAAAAAGGACACAGCGACATGCGTTGCCGACTTGGCCCGTACAAATTGTCAGCTCGAATGGAACGGGCCAGTCGCATTTTATGGACAACTTGTTGACCAGCTGAACTACTTTCCAGTCGGGCAATTGCCGTTAGCTATCGCTCGGGGCTGATCAACAAAAAAAAAAAAAAAAAAAAAAAAAAAAAAAAAAAAAAAATAGCGAAAAGAAAAATAAACGCAACTCACCTGTATCAATCCGTGCAGGATTCCAAAATCAAGACGATGCGAGCCGTTTCCTTCCTTCACTAGATTCACTCTATTGTCATTGCTCTCAATTCTGAAGAGAGACTTTCCGCTCTGCTCTCTTTTGCACTARCAACCTACATACATACAAACATACATTGTGGATATAGATGAGAGTCCATTAGAAATCGAAACGAACGATTCGCATTAGCGGAAACTTCTTTTACGCTGCCTCCCCTGCTGCTCACCTCTCTGCTCATGCCCTCTCTACTTGTTGCCTTGCTCACATCCGTTGGACCACAAGCGGCACAACGGCACATTTCCGAAATTCTACTCAATCTCTATAAATATATATCTCTATCTCGCTCGATCTCAAATAAATTTTGGCATTCGAAGCGGCAAAGAGGAAGCAGCGTCAAATTTGTGTCCCCCTCAGGCGAAAGGCAAAACCGCAAGAATTGCTATTTAACGGTTATTCGTATGAATGAGCGTAGCATGTGTGTGAGTACATGCAAGTGTGTGTATGTAGTTTATATACAAATATGTATGAATGTAAATGTGTTAGAAAGTTCCTACATTCATGATATGCACGTATGTATGTATATGTACATACATATATCAATCATTTACATACGTACATACATCATTTAGTGGACTTCAATTAGAAAGTAATTTTAATCCTAGCCATGTCATTATTTCAATAGTCATTTAATACTTATGAAAATGCATAAATACACATGTACATACATACATACGTACATCAGTACATCACACACACACACATGCATACTTACACACACACATACATAGAGGCAAGTATTTATGTCATTTTGTCGTTTGCCTTTTGCAGCTGTTTGCCGGTCGCCGCAACGTTTTAAAAATAAAAACAAAAATAAATATAAATATAAATACAAGTCGAAAGGAACAACAAAAAATATACATATATAAAGATAGAACCAAAGAAGAAGAAAACACTAACAATGCAAACGGCTCAACCACTTCGCACGCACTTCTGCTTCTGCTTCTTCTGATCTGCGTTGATTTCGGTTATTTTGTTTTGTTTTCTTTTTATTTGGCGAACTGCATTTGCTGCCAATTAACGCGCACATTAACAGGTAGGCGCAATCCTCACTAGCCAGATGATCATTAACATCTGTGGCTGCAGCTCATTGATAACAATTTCGCACAGTTCCCGGGCTGCGATCACACACACAGTACAATAATAACAACAACAAAAAAATGAATCAGAAAGAAACACGTCAAAAGCAATTTGGGAGAAGGCGAACGATTTAAGATGCGCGTAGAGCACACACAGCCTGTCAGCGTCGCGTCACGTAAGTAACTGAACGAAATTGTCTTCGCCGCACACACATAGACGGCAGCGACAGCGAGACCGGCCGACGCGGCATGCTTCGGCACTGCTTCGGCCTCTTCGCACACGAAGACGAAGCGTCGCGACTTTCGAGAGCAAGAACAGCGCAGCGCCATAAAGCTGCTGGCTGAATCCAGCCGAACATGCGCAGCGCGCTATCGTGTGTGTGTGTGTGTGTGTGAAGGAAGGAATCAGTGTGCTGCAGGCGCGCAGGCACAGCCAACCACCCAGACCACCCATCCACCTATCGACTCCCCCCGCTATCACGACCAAAACATAAAACACGTGCCAAAAGATTTTTTTTTTTTAATTTTTTTTATTTGGTTTTTGTTGTTATCCACTTAACAATTTCGATCGTATTATACATTTATGTTGAGAATAATTTTTAATTTTTTTTGTTATTTTTTGTTGTTGTTTACTTTTATTCTTGTTTCAATTAACTGTAATATAAGTATATTTAGTTTTAAGTTTATAAACTTTGTGCATATGCTTGTTTCATTGTGTGTGTTGGTGTGTGTGTATATCTGTATCTGTGTGTTATATGCAATTACAGTGAATTGCCAAGCTGCACAACATTTTACACTGGGCGAAACGAAATCATTTGAATCGACAAAAGAATTAAAAAAAAAAAAGAATTATAAAATGCTTAGTTATATGTAGTTTGTTCTTCTTCTTCTTCTTCTTCTTGTTGGCTAGTATGCGTTATTGTGTGTTGGAGTTAGTTGGGCCTTAAA